CCAGTTAACATTTATTTATTTATTTATCCATATTTTTTAATCTCTCCAGTTTTAAAGGATATTGTTGGTTTACTGTCCTATAGTATACATTGGAATGATTTCAAACCTGTTTTTATTTATCCTAATAATTATAAAAGGTGTGCCTTGGAAATATTTGTTTACATAAATTGTGATAAAACCGTTTGAGACACACTGTGATAACTTAGACTAAAGTGAACTATCTAAACACTCAGAGTCCTTTACCTCACTGAGCCTCTCAGGGCACATGGAAAACATTTTTTGGTATTATATTTGTATTATATTTCCATTTAATCTTGTGGACGTGCAGATTCCCTGTCCTCCATCAGGGGGTGCTGCAAGCACCCTCAGCACCCCTACTTACCACGGCCCTGTATGAAAAGGTTCAACTACGCACACACACACATGATCTCGGCTCGCGCAGCACACTCACAGGCATAGATTGTGCAAGAGGTGCAGTGCAGGCATATTGTTATTCAAGAGATGCGTTGTTCTTTTGGAAAACATGTTTTTATTTTCAATAATACTAATTACATTGACACATGCATTATTTGTGATTAAAATAATGGTTGTTGGTAATGTATTAGCGACCCCCACAGATGTATGATTTCACTGCGTCCGTGGGAGCTCAGACCCCTCCTTATGGGAGCTCAGCTCCCATTGGCTCCCACATAACTCGAACCCTGCTTTTAACCCCCCTGGGAATAATTATATAAAGTATGCAAGTATGCAAGTAAGCATTATTACATTACATTACATTACATGTCACTTGTTAGACACTTTTATCCAAAGCGACTTACATACTCAATACTGTGAGCAATCCCCACAGGCATGTCCAGTTGTATCACCTCTGTACTATAGATATTATTGCTTGTGTCTTGATTTAAGTTTATTGTAATTTTGAATTTTTGAATCGTTTTTTCAGCTATCTGGCCTTACGAAAACAGAAATGTGCAACCGCCAATGACGCACAGGTTCAAACAGGACATACTGTGCATAATGTGACCTGAGGCCTGTATGATAATAAAAAAAATTCAAAAAGGTATCCAGTGTTGCAACAATGGACAGTTAATATTTATTTATAAAAATACAAATGTCACCTTGAATTTACATTATTTAAAATCACCCAGCTGTCCACATTTCGAGCACCACTAGTGATTGCCTTCAAAGTGGGCTGAAAATATTTTTGCTATTCTTTCAGTCTCTTTCTTCATGGATGACGGGGACATGTTGGGACGCTGTCGAGGACCTCTGTGATTTGGAATGTGAGGCCCCTGTGGAGAGGAAAACAGACAAACCTGTAGTGTGAATAACATTTAATCTTGTGCTCAAAACAAACAGGCCAACCTATTAATGAAAGGATTATTTATTGCGTGTTTGAGGTGTGAGGTAACAAATGAGTGACTGTTCAAACACAGCAAGCCTTCCTTTAGTTTATGTTGATGCATGACTGTTGTTGGTGCAAAGAGCTCAATTAGGAGGTATGCAACAAGTGACTAGCTCGAAACGGTTCTTCAAAAAGGTAATTCCATGCCTCCTCAAAGTTTAACATCTCCACATCTGATATCACCACACCCTTTTGATGGCCCTGTTTACAATGGAGTGACAGAAAATACCTTTACCTCTGTACAGCTGGCTGGGCGGGCCAATCTGTTTCACACTAGGTCTGAACAACTCCCAACATTACATGAACATTCTGCATAGGAACACCATTTTAAAATTGCAATTTTTGATATGTTATTTTTTTTTAAATCTGGCGCCACATGCATGTATTGGAGCTAGCAGTTATATCACAGCCAGTGATCACGGGTTTGGCCTGGTTGAAATGCAATCACCATGTTTACATATTATATTGTTATAAGAGCAGCCTAGCTCCCTTTGGGAAACCTGGGTGTAGTTTGTCAAATAATAAATGCTGCAGCTTTTCACGAGTCAAAAGTAAAGTCTGTGTGTCCCAACTGCCAGTTAGAGTCAAGGGGGTTAGGCTTTGAGTTATATAAGCATTTCAGAGTTGAGGGGCCATATGCACTTTCATTTGTGGGATTTATTGTAACCGACAGGAGATCGGTTAGATTCCTCTTCTCTTTTCATATATCAATGTTCACTCCAGGCCTGCTGTTCTACAGTGCTTTATTTTGTTCAGATGTATTCAATTAAGTCATGATGATACTACTGTGGTTGAAGGTTTTTGCAGTTAAAATAGCTTCATAAATAGATGTTAAATGTTACCCTTATTTGACCCTGCAGAGTACTTGCATAATGTGCCTTCTTAGGTTTAGTGAATATTAACAGTGAATATGATTTCTGTTATGATACTATTAAGTCTCTGTCTTGTGAATATACAGAGTCAATTGACATGTAATAAAGGCAGCTTAAAACTGAGCTACGAGTCAGATCTACTTGCTTGGACCTATAAGGAGGATTAAGGGCATACTAACCACCGTAGCAGGTTTAACTCACTATGTGACATTTAGAAAAAAAAACACTAGTTACCTGTCTGGTTTTTTTCAGCACAGACAGGTTAAGACTCTTCAAACTACTTTGTCCACTCCTTTCCCAAAGCTAAAGGCTGGGAGGGGAAACACATTAGCGCTGCTATAGAAACTGTGTGAGGGCAGATTAATGACACATTTTCATTTGCAGTGTAAACACCCCTCGGTACAATCAACACCATATATACTCATGATCATATAACAGTATGTACAGCAGCTATTTGAAATATTTGTACAAGTCAGAAAGTGGGAGGGCCCAAAGCTGTCAATGCTGGAAGTTAAATGACACTGAACTTTAGTTGGTACACAGTGTCACTGTTCACGACTGGTCTCTGCTCAGTTTGCGTCATGTGTAAAGTCATCTAATAATAACCCCCTGCTTTGCATGGCGGTTCTGTTTTAATGTCAGTGACTGTACATTCTGACATATGACTTATTTCTTAAACTATGAATGGAAACAAGTAAGTCTTCCAATAGGTATTATTAAGACACTTGCCAAAAGAATGAAGCTATAATTAAAACGAATGTATTTAGGTATGATAAGGAAGTGAAATTAAAGGGGAAGGGAGAGTGAGTCAGTGTGGATGCAGGGAGTTGAGTTGTTGACAAATACTCACCGGGTCAGTAGCCTTGTTGGAGAAAGAAGGAGCTAAACGTATGACTCTCATGGAGGCCTCCAGTTGGTGAGAGGGAAGGAAGAAATTAGGAACCTCCACAGGGGCAGAGCTTCATGTAGAATGTTAAAGCGTCTAAAATGTGCCTGCTTCAGTGATATACATACAATTACAATACACATTTTAGAACTACATCACACAAAGAACCAGTGAGACACCTGTATGTTAAGACAGAAAATGCCTGTGGAGCAAAGTGTTCCAAAAAAACTGAAATGTTACTCAAAGATCTAAACAATTTTTCCATTATTTTAGATCTTGGATGACCTTTTCAAACAAATAAAAGTAAAATGTAATCTTAAATCCTAAAACACAAATGCAAATCAAGGATACAGTTGGGTTGGAACATCTTGATGGTCCAGGGAGCATGAAGCATCATGGGTATCTGTGGCGTGCAGTGTGGTGGGTGAAGGAACTCGGTCACCTGACCCTTCGTTGGGGCTGCTGGGTTCTTTCGGTGGTCTCTCGGCTAAAAATGGTATTGTCCTTTCACCGTCTGTGTCTGAAGAGTCTCCAGCTGATCCATTAAAACTGTCACTTTGCTGATGTTCACTTTCTTCTCTGCTCTCATCTCCACTATGGGTTAGCAGTTCTACCGTTTCCTCTTCCTCGTCCTCATCCTCTCTCAGATCGGGCCCCTCTGGTGGCTCAGGGCTCTCCACAGACACCAGGTCAGGCTCTGACATGATGCTGGTCCAAGGGCTGGTTTTGTCCGTTAACGAAGTCACCTCGTTCAGAGGCCTCGGGTTCACCACAACCTCATCGTAATCTTCATCATCATCAGCTTCTTCATCCTGTGAACAACCTGTACCATCTTGGTCTGCTCCTTCTTCGTTTTCATCTTCTGACACGGTAAGCGTGTAGCTCCGTTCGTCCTTCTCTCCCTCAGGCTCAGAGTCTGACTGGGCTTCAGACGTCTTTGGCAGTGGCGAGTGCAGGAGTGACACCTTTTCCTCTTCTTCTTCCTCTTCCTGGAATAAATGTGAAGCTCTGCGTGGACTGGAGACACTCTCCGGGATAGTTTGAGGGTTGTTGTCTCCAACAAGTGAAGTTGCTGAGCTGCTTAGGTGGTCTGAAGGAATTGTTTCCAGGTGGGATCCTCGCAGACCTGTGTGAAGAGGACAGTGATGTTGTTAGCAACACAGATGTTTTTTCCTTCCCATATTTTATGTCATACTTTGTAAGGTTTGAACTTCAGAGGGATTGCCTCCACATGGAAGATAGCAGCTATTGGGGCTAACACAACTAAAAGGGTTAATAGACCAGACTAACATAAACAAGGCAAAGAGTAGCTTGGATTATAACACTCACAGAGGGAGCTTGACTCCATTCTCTGATCAGTATGCAATTACTCCACTATATCTTAACATAGAACAGTCATTTGTTGCTATAGTAATGCCCTGAATGTCAAATGGAGAACCTTTAAATAACAATTTTATCCTGTTCTATGTAGCAACTGTCTTAAACCACAACTTGAATGTGGTGTTTATGACTTGTTCACAGCTTTTAAAAGGGATGTTGCCATAAACCCATGTTTAAAAAAATTAAGAGCAATGATCTAACAAGTACAGTACCGGTTTGATCAAGTCAATTGAAGTCAAAATATTGTTTCCAAATCCTCAAATGTCTTATTTTGATACTTTTCTTTGAGTTTTTGAGCTGACCTGGACAATTATTTAAAAAATATATATATATATTGATTAGTTAGAGTTAAAAAATAAATAATTGATAGTTGCATTTATAATGTACCATATAATAACATGATATAAATAGCTTGGGCAATAAAAAGTGAGAGCCATGCAGTGTTTACATTGTTCCACTTGTTACATTTCAGCACCTCTTGTATTAATCAGACGAATGAGGAAGGTACAGGGATGTCTCCATTTATGGGTTAGTGTGCAAGCTACACAGAAGACTGTCCCCGCAATGACCGTTTCTGGGTCAGCTGCCAACGCTGGGTAAACTAAAACAAAGTTTACATGCCAAGAATGATCTTTAAATGTTAAAACTAATATTAGTGGACACACTTTAAAGGTCACCTATTATGCAAAATCCACTTTTTCATGTCTTTTATTCATAAACATGTGTCCCCTCTGTGTAAAGAGATTCTGAAAGTTTCAGGAAAAGAGATTCGCTCACTTTTTGTCCTGATCCATTTATATAAAAACCTGTCTGAAAATGAGCTGATCAGATTTTGGACACTTTATGTCATAACGATTTTTTTGGCTTGTGTAACCATTAGCCAATAACCAACCAAGGTAACCCCCCCCACCTTATCACCTGAATCTCCTCCTAGAGCACCATTGTGTTCTTTTTAACCAAATATCTCTCAGAGGGGCGTGGGGAGTGGCTCCTTATTTTCATCTAAAGTAACAGACAGAGAATCAGCACTTTTGAAACAGGGCTGAAACAGAGGGGATTATGGGATGCTACAATGATCTGTTTGGTATTTCAGCCAAACACTTCAGAGACATGTTTTGTATATATCTGAGACCTATAATATATTGATGAAAAACAGTATAATAGGGGAACTTTAAAATAAATGTGCCATCCAATGTGCCGTTATTAAATGCAAAAACAATGTATTCACTTATGACTACAGGTTGAAAAATGTTGCTGCTAATTACTGACTCATAAAATGGAACCGCTTACATAACAGTGCTCACCGCTAATGATATTGTCTGCTTGTCCAACTAAGTGTTTGGACTTGAGAAGAAGCTGCCGTGTGTCTGTCTCCGAGTCCCTCTGCTCCTCCTGGCTGGTCTGACAGTCCGGCTCACTAGTGGGCGGGAATGTGGGAGTTGAAAGCTTACGGCTGAAGTATCTCTGGATGTTGTCGAGCTCACTTAGTTTTTTCCTGTAAAAACAAGGATTGGTTTGGCTTGGATAAAAAAAACAACAACAACAACAACAACAAATAAGTGAAAGTCCATGTGAGGAATGATACCTGAGTGCTGAAAACAGGAAGGAGCTGCTGCTGCAGACAGAAGGAGCTGCTGTTTGCTCCTGCAGACTCTGATGGTACAGACGCACTTTGTCCATGTGCTCAAAGTGGCGGTCACTCTCACTGGACCTGAGCAGATTAGAGATTAATTAATGCAATGTGGAGGCTTTTTTAGCACGTGGATAAATATACTTATAAAGAGTAAGTTAAATGTGTAATTTTTCGCGACACACCTTTCAGAGAACAGCCTCTCCGTGATGTCGGGTGATGAGATCTTTTGCTCTGTGTGCTGGCTGATGTGAGAGGGGAAGCTGCTGTAGGTGGCTGTGGTATGGTAGATGACAGGGAGTGCCTGGAATAAATCCTTCTAATAAAACACATGTATCATTATCAAAATGGTGGCCAATCCAAAATATAAGTTTTATTATGTACCAATACGTTTTCTCACCGGTGAGTTTTTGGCAGTTTCTTCATTCACAGCCTTTCTCCGTCCACGGAGGTCTTGGACCCCCTTTAGAGGAATGATTGACACTTTGAGCTGGCCGTGACACTGACCGCTGAAGTCTGTGATGTTGTACCAACCACACACCAACTGGAACCCACAGAGTAAGGGGGACAGGTCTACAGACGCAAATCCAATCACCCTCTCCGTTTCTATGGAAGAAAAACCCCAAGAGAGAATACATTTATCAAATGAATCATGAAATGAATCAATGAAATGTATGCTGTGATGTGTAACTGCTTCCTGTACCTCCTTTGTGCCAGACTTTGAACACGAGATGTTGCTGTGGATCGAGCAGTAGCTCATTTGTAAGCCTGTGAATTCAAAAACAAAATGTGCCCTTCACGTTTGTTTCAGTGTACCATAGATATCTTAAAAGATGTATTTATGTGTGTCGTTGACCTGCACTCATGATGATGGTCCCACACAGGGCAGTCGGTGTTGGCTAAGACAGCAGTGGACACTGGTTCAGCAGAGTCGGCAGTGATGTAGGAAACACAGCAGCACGGCGACCCTTCACTGCGCTCTGCCAGAGGACAGCCTGCCAGGGAAACACAACACGTCAAGGCAACATTTAGTGTTTATGGTCCCTGCCTCTACAATAGCTTTTTACCTTAGCAATCAACTATTCTAATTCCACTTGATTCATCTACTCTATTGTACTTTGCTATGCTTATTGTTTAAGAACCATGATTGCATCTTTGCACAAAAGGCGCTATATAAATAAATAAGTTGAACACAAACATTAAGTAAAGTCAAGCTCACCCTTCAGATTCAGGTGCATAGCTCGATCCACTGCTACAGTCACAGGGAAAGATTCCTCCGTGCTCATTTCTGTATGCTGCACACGTGTGATGTCTGGAGTTGTTCTGGAGGACTTATTCTTGTGTGTGCTTTGTGGTTGTTTTGGTGTAGCTGGCGAAGTGATACAATCTGCTGCTTCCTCCTCTGATAGGAGCTCCCCCTGGCTGTCCCAGTCCACCTGAGTGGTAACTCCAGCAGGGAGCTCCACTGGGACATCCCCTGCTGTCATGGCGATGTGTACCCTGATAGCAGCCCCTTGTAGATCTGCTGCTGAAGGCCTGAACAGCGGATACACTCCTGGGAAACCACACAACTTTGATGACACCCAGAAGTAAAGCCATAATCTTTCTCAAGCAATATTATTCAGTCAAATTATAACACAATAGTAATTTCTTACCACTGATGGTAAACTTCTGCTTCGGCGTCTTTGCAAGAGAGGACAGATCAACAAACGCTGAGCCCACCAGTCGATCAGTGTCTCTAGGCCTCTGGGATTTATCTTTTGAAAATGCGACCCACAGCTGGACCTCCAGCCTCTCCTCTCGTAGATACCACATCAAGGGCTGAGTGCTCCTTAGCTCCACTGCTCTACTTCCCTGGAAGGTCACCGTGGCCTGCCCCCCCTCCTCTACAGAGGGGTGTTTCATCTGAGAGCAGAAGGCTTCCTGGTCGTAGAACTTGTACCTGAAGTAGCAGTAGGTGGAGCGCTCCAGCTCACTGAGGCCCGGCAGAAGCAAGCAGTGGACCGGTATCCATGCTCTAGGAATCGAAACAGTTAAAGACATTTTTCTCATGCCGTCTCCCCAAGCTTCTTCATCCTCTTGCATGTCATTCTGGGCCATTTCCCAGCTCAAACCCTGAGCAGCTTTTATCACTCTTTCCCTGTCTGAGTGGTGGGCGAAGCTGACGGAGATTTCAAGGCCTCCGACCAAGATGTGCTGCTGCTGAGAAGAAGAACTTGTTTCCTGAGGTGTATACACTCCAAACCAGCCTGAAATACCTTTAAGATTGGAAAAAGTAACATGAATGAGAAAATGAGTCGTTTTTTTCAGGAAATCCAAGTCAAACAGCAGTCACTATGAGAGGAGCTTACCTGTTCTTTTATGGATGAGATCAGCAAGAGGTATTTTCACTGAGCCCAACATCGCATCCTTAGGCTTATGAGTGTGGACTGCTACAAGAAAAAGCACAAAAATAATTAAATTACAGACACATTATTTTCTAACATTTAAGATAACCTAGAAAGACTCCCTTGAACCAAGCAATTGTGTAACATGTTGTAATTAACATTCTTCTAACTTGGAGCAACACTGTTAATATTTACAAACTCGTTAGCACGACTTTTTCAATTAAAATGTTTGTTTGACTGCATGCTGTACATGTTTTATTAAACGATAAGCTGAATAAAAGTTAGAACCATGCCTGTAAAACAATACAAATATCACTTGCATATTAAATGGTTAGTGTGATAAGAAAAAAACCTAACATTTGAATTTAAATCATTATAATATTGTCATTATAATATAGTAATTGTGGAGAAATTGAACTGAGCTTTTGTAAACCTTTGCGACTGTCTCTGTTCCAGACAGTGAAGACAGCAGAGGCTTCTTCCAGCTGCTCAGCTAAGCTGCAGGTTTCTCCACTGCTCCTCTGAAGCAGCAGATCGCAGGACAACTCCATGTGGTGGTCAAACTCAGGGCAGAAGGTCCTGGCAGCGACACGGGTGCACCTCCTCTCACTCTCAGGCAAGAACGAGAGCTCCACCGTGATGAACGAGTTTACTCCCACACCAGCAAAGTAGCTGAATCTGTCATCTTGTTCTGATAAAACCCTGTAACAGAGAGACAGAAGCAAATTAGCAAACTGAAGACATTAAGGAAGTTTATTACATGGCTTAGTTGAATACTCGATTCTGATTGGTCAATTCAGAACACGTGACACGTTGTTAATCCAGTAGTACAGACCGCTGTCGAGGACTTATTGACCGTTGTTAAGGACGCTCACATCTGCAAAAAGAAGTCCGGTCGATTTAACTGTATACAGTTTGCTTGTCTTTAGTTTTCCGTTGTCTACCGTCTGAGAGCAACATGGGAGGACTTTAATATACATTTTAATATATTTGGAGAGCACAGTAATTTGGATGAATGGTTAGTGGCTGATGAGTCCCCAGCGAAGAAAAGAAAAAGACAAGAGGGACAAGAAAACAGCGGAGAAGTAAGAAAAGAGGGACAAGAAAACAGCGGAGAAGTAACGGGGCATCCTCAACACGGAGCTGCGGTCCTTTTTACGCAACGGTCCAGACATAGACATCAAACGGCAAAACATATTCAGTTGCCAGTTACTTTGGCATTAGGGCAGGGATATCTAGATACTTTCCAAGGTTTGACATAATGAATTGTGCTACTATTAAAGCAAGCAACGATGTTTTCAAATCTGTCATCAAAAAGCAGTTCCTGCCGTTGCTGCGTAGTTCAAACGGTAACAACGGACTATTTTTCTTAGCGGATGCATGTCATTTTAAATCAATAAAACTATTTTTTAAATCAATAATACTATTTTTTAAATCAATAAAAACATTTTCTAAATCTATAAAAGCATTTCAATTAATATTGGGAGTCAAGTCGTTACTTTTTTGAGAATGTGGCCTGTCACTGTAAATAGGTTGCTAATGTATACCCCTGTAATTATGTTGTGATGTCCTTTTGTTTTCTGTTGTTTTTATGTGTAACTAATGTACCGCAGGTCTCCCTTGAAAAAGAGATCGTTGATCTCAATGGGATTTTTTAACCTGGTTAAATAAAGGCTACAAACAAACAAACAATAAGCGGGATAAGGTGCAGCGACTTGGTCATTATTGGTCATTACAAATATAGTAATGACCGCCTCGCTGCACATTATCCCTTACATATATATGTATAAGGAAGACATTTTCAGTATGTGTTTTCGGATCTCTGATGCTGAAACACTTGCCATTAGACAGACTAATGGAAGGGAATTTCGCCTTATTTGTATCTCAAAACGTAAAGTTGAGAAACTCAATTTCAGTTTCTCTTTCAAGGAGAATATGCTGGGGATGAAGTGTCAGCAAGGAGAGCTCTAACTTGACAAATAAAACACAAACTACTTTAACTGACGACTAGCTGACATGACATTATATTGCAATCATAATTATTTTAGTCTGAACAACTGCCAAATTAAAAATACTTTTTTGATGAACTTTTTCATCACACCATTAGGAACAGATTCACACACATTTAGCCCCCAAAAAACACCACTCTCAACATTGCTAAGTGGATTTTCCTTGCATCAAAACAAGTAAAGCTCCCAAGAGGACAGTGTGTGTTGTACCTTGCTGCAGCCTGCAGACCTGATGCTCTGTGCACCTGAACCACCAGGGTCACAACACGAGAGGCCGCTCCTTTACCAGCCTGACCTTCAGGTCTCACCGGTCGGTGCTTGTACCGAATGCACACATCCAGTAATCCTGATACAACAAAACAGAACATTGAAGATACTAATTGTGCCAATACAGTATTATTTTTAGTTTCCATTACTCAGTGAGTCTGTGTACCTGAGGGCTGAGGCGGGTGTGCAATGGGACTGTCCGTCCTGGGAATCAGGGGCAGGGAGAACATTTGAGCCTCATTAGGATGCTGTCTCTGCATGGTGACCATGGCACACAGCTTGGACAAAGGAAGCATTCCTCTGGCCACAAGCTGGTCTCGAACGTTTGGATAATAGTATCTGTAAAAACAAAAAAATCCATCTAAATAAAACCAGTACGTTTTAAGCTAAGAGCTAATGAAATTGCAATTAGAATCGGATCAGGATTTATGCACGTGAAACCTCAGAACTTTTCAGAGTAATGACCACATTTTAGTTGTAATGAATGCATCTCCAATTACATTTTCCTCTATTGAACAATCACAAACCTGCACCAGACTTCAAATTGGACACCCCCTCCGCTGCTTAGGCCTTTAGTCGAAAGAGAGCTAAGCAGCAGCCTCTGAACAGGAAGTCCTTCAGGAGCCAGGAGCACATGAGTCTCAGTGTGGCCAAACACAGGGTCCGGGACGCAGAGAGTGGTGGTGGTACGGAACGGCTTCAGGTTTACGCCTGTTGGAGATGGCATACAGGTCAGACAGACGCAGAGGGAAGATAAACAACTTGGGAAATTAGAAAGTAAAATTGACTTACTACTCTCTATGAGGTTCTGGTCCACTTTTGCAGCAGGGTCAGCCTCCTGACAGGGGAAGCTGTACTGGACGTAGCAGTCAGCCTCGCCCCACACTGTAGACTGCAGAGGGGTCAGCCCATCTACCTTCTCCACTCTTATCACAAACACATGCTCTCTCATACTTTCCTGTTGAGGTGCAATAACCTGAGGGGGAAACACAAGGAGGTGAAAGAGAATTCACAACTTATCATCACAGTTGGTGTGTACTCTTCACTCATAAAGGAAACAAAGAAGAAACACACTCGGATGAGAGACGTGAGATAGCTGAAGATCCTGCTCTCGCACCCACATAAGTATACAGTACACTTCAGTAAAGTTCATCGGTGTGACAACATTTATTATCTAACCTTTTTTGGTGAATGAGACTGGTGATCCAGCAGGTGAACTGGTCTCACGAGATGAGGTAAGCAGTCGTATTCTTCATCCCTCGTGCGCTGGAGGGCAGCTATCTGCTCTGATCGGCCCATAGCCAAAACTACCCTGAGCTGTCCTTTACAGCTTCCTGAGAACACATCAATGAGCGGCATGTAGCAGTCCACCCCTAAAACAGGGTACTGCGCCTGGAGAAGAAGGTGGGCAATCTTTGGATCCCTGCAGGGGAGAAAAGCAGAGAGGGTTAATATATTGTCATGTAAGCCTCACTGTGAGAGGTATATTTATTAACTGTGAAATGTAATTTGTGGTGGAAATTCCTGGAGTTTCATTTTAAGATTACAACACATTTCTGGCATGTAGGATAGAACATCCTATAACAGTTTGAGGTGGAGTACCATAGCGCCTCCCAGAGGACAGGTCAATAAAAGATCTGCCGATTACTTTCTTAAATAACCCGTTTCCCAGCAGCTGAAGATGTATTTTTCAAATTGTTTCTTTTGTCCGTCAAACAGTAAAAATCGTATTAACTATAGACCATAATAAACAAAAGAAGTCAACAAATATTTACATTTGAGAGGTCAGAGGCAAGGGAATTGTAAGTACTTTTGCATTAAAAAGTCTTACATTATTAATAATTAGAAAAAAGTTGCAAACAAATTAGTTAATCAAATGACTAATGGACAACTTGTTTCATAACCAAAGGAATCACTAGCACTTTGACTATTTGGTGCCAATCAACTCCTAATCTAATACCCTAGAATCTAGAAAATGTTTTTTTTGTTTTTTTTTTGTTTAGTCCCTCTCCGACTTGCCTAAATGACATGTAGAACTGGTGGAGAGGTAATTTAACGAGGCCGAGGAGTCGATCCTGCCCTGAACTTCCCGTCTTCTGCCACACCTCGATTACTATCACGTTATTCTTCATCCGCTCCAGCAGCTTAGTAGTTAAGGCCACAGGGGTCACCTGAGACAAAGGATGGAGACAAAGTCATGGTACTGTGTTGTTATTGTTCTAGCATGTTGCTTCCATTGTAGCCTAATGTAAAAAGTAAGATGTGGTTAGAAGACTTGATTTCCTGGGCTAACCTGAACAAAGTTAAAGGAAGGATTTGCCTGCCCCCAGCTGACGACAGATCTCGCTGTCTCATCACACCAGAGTTTACAGTTCAGGTACACGTTTGGAGCCTGCATGGGCAAGTTCTTTCCATCGGGCACCATGAGTAACGTATGCAGCAGAACCTCAGGATCCTCCTCCACCTGTAGCTGTGATCTGTGAGATGTTCGGAGGCCGAGATGAGGAGAAGGTTCCTTTGAGTGTTTCTGAGGACTCCAAGCATTCAGCGTGGGTTCTTCAAAAGATCCAGCAGGTAGCTCGTCCCTCTCAATGTCAGCATGGTGAGATCTGGAGCTGCTCTCTCTCTGTGGACTGGGTGCAGTTTGAGAAGGCGATGCATCTCTCCGAGCCAGCTTGCTTTTACTTTGTTCAGTGGAGAAATCTTTATTGTGTGTAGCAAGTTCTAGCGACACCTGCGAAAAAAAAATACCCCTATGACAGATATTTGGGTACAAAAAACAGGCTTGTAAATATAAATTCCTGCGTAAAAGAAACATACCCTGAGGGGTCCAATCTCCTGTGTTTCACTGTTCGCTTCCACCCTCTGTACAGGTAAGAGGACAGACTGACTCAGCTGCTCGCTCTCCAGCAGACAGCGCAGCGGGTGGATCGCCATGCCGATGGGAACAGGCTGCAGCAAGGAAAGCCAAGGTCATCATCAGCAGTTCATTACAGCACTTTATTAATAAATGTTAAACTCTGTTTTGTGAAAAATTAACAATTTTCTTGGTGGTGCTAAATAATCAACAGTGTGCAAATAAACCCATAAAATAGAAAACATTAAAAATATCCATTTAAAACCATCAGAACAGTGTTGTGCAAACACATTTATTGTTATTTATTTATAGTTATCAGAGGGAACTTACATCACAACAACTACATTTAAGCAGTTACAAATGTAAAACTTAGTGAGTCAGTCAGTCACTCTTAAACAAACCAATCTAATGCATTTTATCAATCAAATTACTAATGTTATACGAAATCTACTTACTTTCTTTTGGTCGCTCCTTCGTGAGTAAATCTTGAAAATCAGATCAGTTCCCCACCATTTTTTTACTGCTGCTGTACTGAAGTTGACAGGAAACACAGATCGCTGATGGAACTTTACCGCTGAAAAACAAAAATTGTACATTATGTCAGATTCTGTCACAAGCACCTACCATAAACATTGTTTTTCATTCGAGTTGGTTACTTAAAAGCAGATCGTAACAGGACATACCTCCACCTGCAACTTTACTGGCAACAGCTGTGGTCACCTCTCCATCTCCACCCTTACTACGATCATGTCGACTGGAAGTTGAGGCCGTCGGGAACAGATACTCTACAAAATATGTGCTAAGGATAAAGAGATTAAATATGTCATGCTTGAACTGATAATCATTTAATTATTTGTTTAAGTGAAATAAAAAATATCTTCAATGTTTTGCCTACCACTTTTTGCTGGTTAACGGTCGAGGAGGTTTCCCTTTACTAGAGGGTTTTCTAGGTGTGGTGGTTGTACTTCCTGTAGGTACAATAAGAGAGTCGATGGTGACTCTCGCAAGCCGGATCAAACTCAGCAAAGTGAACTGCTCTGCACTCAAACCAGGAGGGATACCAGCAGCATCTGTACACCGCTGAGGCTCTGAGTTAGGACTAGACACAGTGAAAATATGGTTAATAATTGTCTTAAATTAACAAAAGTTCATGTAATTACATCTACCGTATGTTTTTTCCGTGCTGAATGCTATCTTGGCAGCTTGCATATTAAGGGTTTATTAAAATGGTACATGGTTTATAGAGCATGTAAAGGCCATACCGTTCACTCATCTTGGGTGCAGACTGTGTCAGCTGTTTTTTACTTAGTGACATTGTTCCTTGACCCTCTGGCTCAGTGTCGTCTGGTTTGATATCCGACATCTGAAAAAGAACACGAAAAGAACGACTTTATATGACCCCTACCTCAAAATCAAGTACAGTGAGAGTGATATTACAGATAAAACATGCTTTTTATCATTATAAAATGTACTACTTACAGGAGTTTTGTAGAACAAATGTTCCAGTAAGCTCTGGTCATATTGTGGATCATTGAGCTCACTGTCCCCACACACACTGCTGTGGCCAGAGAGAGATTCAGGGAAGGAGCCATCTCCATCCCAGAGAGGCAAAGGAGATGTGTTCAAGCTAAAAAAACAAAACAGGGGGAAAATAGTATACAAATGTCTGAAAAGAAAACTGCTTACATATTCTGTCCGCTAATGCAATAAATGTGGGCATAAGTACCTGCCGAGGAGCAGGTGCACAGCTCTGTTATCCATGTCCATAGGACAGTCTAAGCTGCAGTCTGAAACTACAGCAACATCCTCAGAGTGCTTGAGAGTTGAATCAGCATGAAGAATATTTTGAAGGAACATCCCAGAGGGAGACGGGACGGGCCTGCAGACACAGGGAGAAAGTATTATAGAGGCATTATGTGTATTATAAGCTGATAGAAAACATTGTTGTTTTCACACTTAAACACACTCACTTTGAAGATGGCAGGATGTTTTCCTTTGGGAGAGGTAGAGGGGTGTCTTTCAGAGCCGGAGCAGAATCCATGTCACATTTTAAAGTTGATACAACCATTGCGTTTCTAAGCTTGTTTCCACGCTCCAGAATAACTGAAATAGGAGAAAAGATTTGTTAAGAGGCACTTCATTGTGTGCGTTTGTGGTTATGCACTCATGTTGTGTAGTCATGCTGCAACCAACCTGAAAGAATATCATTGGTGGTTTGACCACAGAGCTGTCTACATGAAGGATTCATGGCCGTTTGACTGTTTGGAGATTTGTCTGTTGTCGGCATCTGATTCTCCAGTGATTCTTCTTTGTCCTTCTGTGCATTTTGGAAATACAAGTGGTCTTTCCCTCTGAAATATAACAACAATATAAACAGTGAGATTATGATGCTCGGATGTACTTACTACCAATGAGCTTATAACAAGACACACAACTACCTTGGAGTGTTTCCACTGCTGCTGACGGCGGAGAGTGGTCTGGTTTGCGAGGGCACATTCAGTTTGGTTACTTGCGGTCCTTCAACACTAATATCTGTGATGGGACAAGAGCTGCTGCTGTCATAGGCTTCTGTCAGAGGCTCCAGATTAAGGGAAACCTAAGGAGGTAGAGAAAGAAGCTTAGAGGTACTGCTCCTGGTGCAACAAATAAAACAGCTTGAGAATTTTTAACAGTATTTATTAAAATCAGAATCTTGTTTTTTTGTAAGGAATTAGACTCACAAAATATAGTAAAGAGATATTAGAATTAGGGCTGTCAGTCGATTAAAATATTTAATCGCGATTAATCGCATGATTGTCCATAGTTAATCGCAAATTAATCGCACATTTTTTATCTGTTCTAAATGTACCTTAGAGGGATATCTTTCAAGTTTTTAATACTCTTATCAACATATGAGTGGACAAATATGCTTTATATGTTTGTTTATTATCATTTGAACAATGACAAATATTCTCATGAATATTAAACACAACAACCTCTGAACATTACAAATATTCACCTCAATTCAACCTGGAACCTCTCTCATACAATAATACTGTGTGTGTGTGTGTGTGTGTGTGTGTGTGTGTGTGTGTGTGTGTGTGTGTGTGTGTGTGTGTGTGTGTGTGTGTGTGTGTGTGGAGACACTGTGATAGATCGTTGGAGCATATATGCTCGAATGGGAGCTGCCTGGACGCTGCAATCATGTTGCGCGTACTATCCGTGCTGAGTGTGCTGACTTTTCGTACAATGTCCCACTGTCTGGCTACCTGCATAAAGTCAAGTGCTCGGCGCAGTTGTCGGCGAAATGTCATTGAAACAGCTCCTTATATCCGTTAGCGCAGCTAGCTAGCACCAGATGCTAACAACAACACGTAAGGTGTGCCTCGCTCGCGCGAGTCGCGCCACACATACACACTCCCTCCCGGTCCTCCCGATGGCCAGTCCGGGCCTGCCAGTGAGCGTGGAAGTGTGGTCTGCCACAAGCGGGCGGTAGGAGCGGGGCTGTCAGCATCAGCTTGTAGATGGTATTTTAAACTCGATGCGCTCTGAAACTACGGCGGCCGAGGACAAAAAATACACATGCGTTAATCGCGTTAAAATAATTAGTGGCGTTAATTTTTTTTTGCGTTAACGCGTTATTAACGCGTTAACTTGACAGCCCTAATTAGAATGTAACATAGGAGCAGATCCTGGAAAAAGAAAAGGAATACTATAAAATCTGAGAATGTGTACAAGAAAAACATTCAAGTAAAATACAAAAAGAATATGACAAATAACAATGACAATATGTTCAGTATATCTTAAAGTGGATGAGCTGTGCCATTTTTAAAGTAGTATCGTTGTGCAGAGATAAATTGCAAATATTACAATTTAATTATAGTTATAATGGTTAGTTTGTCAATGCCACCTTTTATAATGGTAATATAAGCCTGACGTGGGTGATGAGTTGTAAATAGTGAATGTCCCCGAACACTTTACCGATATAATTGTGGATAGAAATGTTAAAAGGCTTAAGAGATATTTAAATGGTCAGTCTGATATAAACAGCACCCCTGCAGTTGGTAAAGATGCCTACTCTTGCCAAAAGGAAAGGAAATGTAATTTCAGGAGTCTCAATATTCAGGACCCTTCAGTATAGCAAACATTATTCCACAAATGCAGGTGGCAGAAGAATGTGAATTCAAGTTTCGACTAACCTGTAACTCTCCCAGCTTGTCAGATGTAGGTGATATAAGGGTGTAAAATCCACTGATGGGGTGGGACAGAGAGAGGCGAGAGATACCCGAAACCTGAGCCCTTGCGATCGGCAGATGATCAGGTTTTGTCAGAACTTCCAGCACCAGGGAGCCCATATCTGTTCATCATTAAAATGTTAGTGGCTAGTGACAACATTTCCATCTCAAACACATTGAAGATATTTTAGTTACCTGTAAGATATGAGGTGAACTGCTTTGGTCCACAGCGGATAGGGAAGCGAGCTGTGGTCTTGATGGTCTTCTGTGACGGCTGTGAGCCATCTCTCGGGAAGAAGTGTGTCCCGTTTGAGGACTCTCCCCACCAGCGCAGCCTCACAAATGTTGCAGGTGGAGGCTTATGAACTGTCCATAATACCCTGCTTATGGTCAACCGCAGGAAGCATCTTAGCTGGCCTTCGACCAGAGGAGGGAGGCTGGTGGCGGGGGGGCACATCGCTGGGGACTGCAAAGAGATATAATTGATTACAGATTACAACACTTTAAATGTTAAAGGTAGTAAAGTGGTTTTAGCTGAAGGATTAAGATCAATGAATCATATTTTATTGATGTGTTCTTTACATCTTTATCTTTCCTTCAGTTAAAACTAAAATAAGTCTGTTTTCCACAGATGTTTTTAAGATATATGTCATAGTGTAAAATGTGCTTTTGTATATATTCGCTTTATTGTTAAAAATTGCTAACGTAAAAAATGGTATTAATATTGTGACAATTATTTCTATGAGAGCTACTGTTCACAGATGCACAGAGGCTACCAGTGCATCAACATGCTAACCAAACATATCCACATTGATCTCTCTGAGATACTGAATTTATCCCTGTAGGAATATTAGACTTCAAATAATGAGTTAAACAGGCATGATACTTCCGACAATAATGCATTATCCCAGCAATGTTAGACACTATTTTTGACAATTCACCTCAATCAGTGGAGCAGCCATGCTGTGTCTGGGACACAATATCACATTTGAATTGCCTCACAGTCACTATGGCATTGCATTATTAGCGTTAAACCTGAGGTGTCGCCTACTGCAATGCATTTCGTAATTAGTTATTTTGAAGTTCAATATTTAACGTTAAGTTAATATTTTATCTAGGCAACATCTGTAAAAACACCTACCAACAACACATACTGCGAAATTCTAGACGACACAGCAGATTACAAAATACAGGAACACACAATTATAAGAGACATATGTTACTACACAACCGAGTGAAACGTTGTTGATATATACAAAATAATTTCTCTGCGAAAAAATGATGTTATGAGTTTTGCTTAACTTACTGTAAACACAATTTAGGATACCCACAAAGTGCAATGCAGGTACTGCAACACATTAACATGGACACCACAAACAAAAACAAAATCCGATTGTCAGAAAGTGAGAGCATATTACATAAACTTTAGCTTGCAAGCTAATATACTCGGCTAATGTGACAGCTGACGCTAACAGCTACTTCACGTAACTAAGCAGCATGCTAGCAGGTAGCTAAGCTAACAACAGCTTACCTTTCTTTTTGCTGCCTCCGGTTCTGACGGTCCTCTGTTTTCTGCTCTTCATCCCGCAGCTCAGTAAATATGCGTGTTAAATAAGAGCCTGGCAGAAGCAGTGCCTAAACATTCAACAGCCATGGTTTTTATCACGGTTGTGCACTAACTCCACTAACTTTAATCCGTTTAACAGAGCTGCTTGGGTTTCGCACACACACTCACACAAACATACAAACTGCAGCCCGCTAAACTGTTCCAGAGCGACAAAGTGCGAACGTACCGCCTCCGCTGCCGCTGTTTTTTTACAGAGGCATTCTGGGAAATGAAGTTGATTTTGATGTGGCGGTCAAAAATCATTAACACACGTTTCTATACAGGTGAGCGTTACATGATGATGACAGTCGCTGGTTTAGCTCAGACTTAAATGACCAGGTTTATAAAGTATTGCAGCTGAAAATGCATGCTTTTGGGAAAGCACAGGATTGAATAAATGAGACTTAGATTACACTGAACGAATTGTTAGAGTGTGTTAATGGATGTTTTGATAACGTTTTGTTGTGAAATACAGCCCCCATTCAGGCTACTTGATACTCATCAAGACCTTTCTCTGTATTTTGTATTCATTCTTTATGGACGCAGGCGAGAAAAACTAAGTTATACTGTATATGGCATTCAAGGTAACACAGGGTAAGTAATTGATACACAAAAAGTATTTTAGGGTATTTCTTTAACATTACATTTGCACCTATAAGCAATTAGAGTTGCCAATTAACCTATTGCTGCATGTCTTTGGACTGTTTGAGGAAAGATAAAGTCCAACCAAGCACATTTAAAAAATGTATCTAACTTCATGAAGCCTTCACTTACATCACCAGCAGAGGGTGACACTGATCCATCTACGAAGCCACTCACAGGAGTCTGCAGTGATTTTATTTTTTTTCTCCAACTTGGGATTTTATGATATGTGCTGAACTTCTTCCCTTTATTTGACTTTTGCTTAGCAGCTCCTCTGTCAGTCAGCACTCTTTCCGTCAGCGTGTTTACTCAAGTCTTTTTTCTACCAGATGTGCACAAACACTGATGCTTTTTTCAACTTTTTTCATCATGTTCCACAAGATTGGAATGTTGCCAATTTGTTAAACGAATTACTGTATGTACTTGACAGTGTGTTGAGGTACATATATGCTCTAGTCATGTATGCTTTAGGTAGTTTGCACTGCTATCGCATAGCAACAAGTCACTCTAAAGCCATGTTTGTAGTGGTGTTCATGGAAACAGGGAGGGCCGCTTAGGGTGTATAGGGAGAGTGCAAAATAAAGCCCTTTGAAATTCAGGGAAAAGTCAGGCTTCAGGTTGTAAGAGGGACCTGTGAAAACATTACTTTAACCGTTTTGCTTTCCTGGAATTCCCTTTTTGTTTCTGATATATAAAATATAATCTCTTATAAATAGATTATATGCATATAGATTTCCATACAACATAAAATAGTCCTTATCTGTACAAGAAAATACAATATTATGTGTTTCTATAAATATGACCAAAGTAGATGCAACCTTTTGTTGACAATATGGTGTTCATTTATGTGTTTTGCGATTAAAAGTAGCTTTATCTGTTTTTGTTTAATGGTATGTATCGCTGCAATGAAACTGATAAGAGCTTTCCAAAAGCAGCATGTTGCTATCCATCCACTCCAAGCTAAAATAATCAAGTCCTGCTGTTGAGTGTGCACACAGACATGTGCAATAAGCATCCAGTATATGGCCTGTTCTTATATTTTCTCTGTCAGCATGAGCTTGAAGGGTGCGTCTGTTTATGTACACCGTGAGGTGCTTGAAGGAAAACATTCATCACGATGAGCAAGCCGGGGTATTATTCCTCTGTCACTCCCTTATTATTCACTCTCACAGATTCCTTCATTCATCAGCAGGATGCCCAAGCTTAGAGTGAATTCAAATAATGTGTCTGGTTCACTTCACCCTGTTTTAAGATGGGCATATGACCTTTCAATGGTATGCAGACAGCATTGTTTGTGTTTAGCCACAAAGTCGGCAGCCGAAGTGTTCCCAATTGCTTGGCGTACAGAGTGTGATTACTGACGCCCAGCCTCTAAAGCTCAATAAGAGGATGACACATCTGGCTTAACTGTTCCATTAGACAACCATTTATTTCAAGAAATGATCTCACAGGAAGTAGTGACTATATCATTTAGTCAGCTGGTAATAAACATGCACGCTCACAATGACTGGGTCCTTTGACTCATAGCACCAGTCAGAGCTGCAGTCCGGGGGTCTGAGATGACCCATTGTAGAAGAACTTGAACCAATCTCTGTTGCTTAGCTGCAGTGAACAAAGATATGACCTTAAAATAAAACTCTGTACAACAAGTTCACATACTCTATATCTGATTGTTCCAGCCCTTAAAAGCATTTTTATAAATAAATTGACTTGCACAACATTCTCCTTTCCTTGTGCATCGTTTTATAAACATTTCACTGTGATTCAGGCACAGGAATCTTTGTAAACTTATACACATTAGAATGAAGGTTCTGAGAGTTTGCACAAGGTACAGCTGTGTTGATATGTGATGGCAGACCCTTAAGTTTGCCCAGTGTAGGAAAGGGGCTGCATAAAATGTCAGTTTTGAAGCAAGAGAAGCAAACAGCCCCTGCACAGTTAACTGAATCCAGCACAGTGTGCGAAGGCAGAGGCCTCACTCCATCTGCAGAACCTGGCGAGTAAGAGCAAGAGAGCTTTTGGCCTCTGGGGATTATTGTCAACAGCCTCTTCTATCCCGCCTCTCAGCCTTGTGCTATCCATGTCCACTGCAGCACTGTACGCTTCGGGCTCCCATGGGCCCGGGGCTCCAATCACTGGCTGCCCCTATACGGCTGTATCCTCCCCTGCCTGTGGGCTTATGTTCTGGCTCCCTCCTTCTCTCTGCCTGCAAGCGTGCCTCTCAATTGTGGAGGCTGGCTCTTGTGCTCCAAGGGGCCCAGCAATCGCTCCACCCCTCTCACTCCTCAGGATTCAGGCTGCAGCGATGAAGGAACTCTTGGCCATGCTCATGGATCCATTTGTTTGCCACTGAAAGATACGGAAAGATGCGAACTATGTTTTAATATCTTAAGGACACAAGCACTGATAAATTAAAGTTTGATTGCCTTTTCTTTTAAAAGCTCAAGTGAGTAGGATGTAGTGGATTCTAGCAGTGAGGTCAGAGAGTTCAAACCTACTTAACACCCTTTCTTCCAGCCTTTTACAAGCATGTCGGAAAACCTACAGTGGCCTTGAGGTAAAATAAAAACTGCTCCCGTACACATTTAGGGCTCATTGTAGGGTAACTACTATTGTTCATTTAAAGGTAGGGTAGGGTAAGTTTGAGAAACCGGCTCGAGATCGCTAGAATTTGAAAATACACAACCGGAGAAAATCTGCCACCCTCCTCCAACACACACGAACGCGCACATGACCAATGAGGGCACGAGATAAGTTTGTGCCCCGATGGAAGGCTGACAGGCAGGTTGGCCATCCAGTTATTTTAGCCGGGCCGGCTAAAATGATTGGTCGTGCTTTTTACAGTATTACGGCTTCCACAGATGAAAGTTTTTTATGGATTTTTTGTCAAAGCACTTAAGATATTCATTGCTATCGGGATGTTAAGAGCATTCCATGGAATATAACAAAAAGTGTATCTCGAGCCAGTTTCTCAAACTTACCTACCCTACCTTTAAGGTGTTTATTCATGAATTATATATTCGTAACAAATAAAATATTCAATTTATTCCATTAATCCCTCGATTTCCTAGACACTACACCTCAAAACATTTCAATTATTCAGTTTTAAAGCCTTAAATGTATTTCAGGTTAGGTCTATGGCTTCAAAAAACAACAACACAACCACCAAATACTCCTGCAGCTGCTTTGTGTGGGTTCATATCATTGTGCTGGCTTGAGTGGGCCCCTAACACACATTTTGGGAGTTTGATGGTCTGGGCCAACCAGAAGCAGATGTTCAGCTTTCAGGACGAGCGCTCACTGTCTGAACTGCACTCTCTATCATCTCTAAATGCATAATGCAGCACAGATGTTGCCTAACTGTTGTAGGTCTACATTTGCTCCTGTCTTACAGGAGGGCTGAACACTGGAAATAGACTGTGATCATGGCACAAAATGGCAAAATCTGTATGTATGAAAACATGGGCCTGATAAATTGCTCGGCTTTACTATCACATCATACAGGGTTTACTGACTCTTACCCCACTTGTCCCCAATAAGCACCGGGCAACCAGCATGAAGCGTGTCTTCGTTCCCTTGACCATTTCTATGCAGATTCCACCAGAAAATGGCCGCTTTCTGCAAAATAAAAAACAAGGAAATATAACTTTTAATTAGCTAGGGAAGTTGCAAATTACCATTTTTTTGTTATTGACTAATCTGACAACTTCTTTCTCGGTTAATAGATCAATCTTTTTATCCAAAGTACTGAAGAATGGCAATCAAATTTCACAATGTTTAAAATGTTGGCCAAAAAGTCCAAAAGATAGTTTGCTTACTCTTATATGAAACACAGAAAAGCAAAAAATTCTCCCCATAGATAGGCTAAAACTGGGCTATTTTAATAATAATATATTAAGCTTGAAAATATAGCTAACCTATCTCTGTTCATCAAAATAGATTTAGATTTAACCTGGTTAGAGCTTATCTTGGTTAAAGCTGAATGTCAAGTACTGTATAAGAGCTCCTGCAGTGACAGTATAATATTAGTAAGTATTTCATTTCAACAGTTTAGTAAGATAATCTTTTTCTGTATAAACAACCAGTAGGTGAGATCTTACTAAAATGTAAGGTGAGAGGTGAAACCCCAGGGATGTCCTGGTAAACCTTATGCTCCGGCTCAATTAATAACCAAAATACAGCCTCAACCTCCACTGAGTCTCAACTTTACAATAGCAGTACTGTGTAGGATAAAGAATCTCATGGCTGTTGTTGCTATGGTCTGACCCTTTAGCATTTTGACAGCTAATCCATAGAATGTAAGGGGGGGCACAGTGTCAATTGAAATAGTCTAGCTTGAGGCAGAAAAGACACAAATATGCTGCTTAGACATTGGCAGAGTGTTTACCTTCATGACTGGAATACTGAAGTTGGCGTAGATGAAGGCTGTGGACCCACCTGCCTCTACCGAGCTGAGCTGTGGAAAAGGACATTCCTTCAGAGTTGTGTCTTGTGTTTATGCGCTTGTGCTATGAAAAGCTT